GCTCTGCGGCTTTGCTCCGCATCTCCCTGGTCTGCTGGGGGGGAGGGGGTTCCCTCCCCCAGCAGACCAGGGAGACGCGGAGCAGCTTTTCTCGCCCCGGAGGACGCGGGCGGCGGGACCGCGGCGCATCTGGGCGTCCCGCCGCTCCCGTCCTCCAGGGCAAGAAAAACCCCGTTCATAACTGCGGATCCAACATAAGTCGGATCCGCGTAACTCGGGGACTGCCTGTATTTCAAAAAGCAAATAATTTTTTCAGGTCTACATGGACCCCAAAGTTGATTTGATGAGATAATTATGTTAACATTTAAAGCAGTAATCTGTATTGTATTGTATTGTTTCATGGTACATTGTTTCCCTGTAAGGTAGAGAACAGTAACAAGTCATTTCTCTAAATACCTTGAACAACAAATGTCTTTGTACAAACAAAACATTATATCCTAAAAGCCTACCAAGTGTAACACAATGAGTACATCTACACAGCAACATTATTTTGAAATAAGTAGGGTTATTTCGAAATAACTACCTGCTGTCAGGATGTGGACTATTTCAAAATAGTGTTGAAATACTGTCAAGTTGGAGGACTTCTGAATCTAACTCCTCATTATATGTAACCCTCACTATATGAGGAGTAAGGGAAGTCAGAGGAACAGTGCTTTATTTTGAAATAAGTGTTGTGTAGATGCTCCCAATTTCAAAATAAGCTATTTCAAAATAAGCTACACAATTGACATACACAATTTGACCTATATTATTTCAAGTTAAGCCCTGCTGTGTAGACACACCCAATAGGATCCTAATATTAAGTAAATTCACACTTCTGTGTAAGCCTTTCAGTGGCTTTAAAATTGTCAAACTTGCATCTAAATATTGAGATAAATTAAGTGAGAGTCTTGAATTTAACATTGTGAAGCAAGCTTCCAGTGTCCACTTTTAGCCTTGTGACAGTGTCTCAGTGTGAATATATTGAATATAAAATATGGATTTCATTTTAACTATTTGGCTATTTATAGATAGCATATATCCACCAGATTATTTAGTCCTTCTTCAAATGACTACATATGTCCTTTCTACTTAGATTTTGAGTACCCAAGGTATTCAAACTAGGAATCAGGGTCTAACTGATTGCCATACTGGGTGCTCAGAAGGAATTTGTCCCTGGGCTAGGCTGGTGGAGACCCCGATTTTTGTTTTTCTTTTTGTCTTCCTTTGCAGCCAGGGGCACAAGTTAGTTGGAGGCATAAAGTGTGAATTCTCTAACTAGAAGTCTTTAAATTATGATTTGAGGAGTTCAGTAACTAAGCCAGAGATTAGGAGACTATTTCAGGTGTGGAAGAGGTTTTGCGGCTTCAGTGTATTGAATATCAGCCTATATGATCATAATGGTCCCTTCCGACCTTAAATTCTATGAGGCTCTGAGAAAAATAAAAACAGTCAACTCATTATTTCTTTTGCCACTGACACTGGAATGTGTTGATAAGCCCTAAGAGCAGTATTCAGAAGATTCATAGAAATGTAGGGCTGGATGTGAACTAAACAAGTCATCAAGTCCAGCTCCCTGCACTGTAGTAGAACCAGGTAAACCTAGGTGATCCCTAACATATTGTCCGACTTCTTTTTCAAAGATTCCAATGGTAGGGATTCTATAATCTCCCTTGGAAGCTAATTTAAGAGTTTATCTGTTCTTAAAGTTAGAATGTTTTTCTTAGGGTACGTCTAGACTACATGCCTCTGGCGACAGAGGCATGTAGATTAGACTCCCCGTCATAGGAAAATGAAGTGGCGATTTAAATAATCGTCGCTTCATTTAAATTTACATGGCTGCCGCGCCGAGCCGATCAGCTGTTTGTCGGCTCAGCGCGGTAGTCTGGACGCTCCGCGGTCGACATCAAAGGCATTTGTCGACCTCCCAGGTATGCCTCCTGCAATGAGACTTACCTGGGAGGTCGACAAATGCCTTTGATGTCGACCGCGGAACGTCCAGCCTACCGCGCTGAGCCGACAAACAGCTGATCGGCTCGGCCCGGCAGCCATGTAAATTTAAATGAAGCGGTGATTATTTAAATCGCCACTTCATTTTCCTAT